AAAAAAAAAAGGAAGCCCAGTTCAGGAGGCCCCTCGAGACACCCAAGGACACAGAAGAGCACTCTAAGGACCAGCTGTGTGCAAAGCACTCAGCACTGAGTGCCGGCAGGGAGCAAGGCCTGGGCCTGCGTTGCCTCTGGAGGTGGGAGGTGCGGAGGGCGGCAGCGGGGGTGCAGAAGAGCCGGTGCACAAGGTCAGCATCCGCAGGAGGGAGGTCAGGAGGGAGGTGGGGTCACAGGCGACCCGGGTTTCTAATCTGGGCGATAGGATGACGGGTGAATGAGGAGGAAGGGGAGGTAAAGAGAGGAGAGATTGCGAAGGAAGATGGGCCGGGCATGCAGAACCGCATTGGCCACCCTGCAGTCTGGGCACACGGGGTGAACTTGACCGCAGGGTTTGGCGAGGCGAGAGAGAGGAAGTGCTCATGTCTTCGCACAAACTTCTGCTGAGCATCACCTTGTGCCAGACTCTGTGACGGGGCCAGAGGTGCAAGGTGAGTAACACACCTCTAACTGAGGGTCAGCAGGAGGCCATGCACTCAGATGGAGGTCTGCAGGGGTCGTGAGGGGGCGTGGTCACTGGAAGAGGAGCCCCTAGCCCAGGTGGAGTCCAGAAGGGCTCCAGGAAGAGGTGAGTCCTGAGCACCTTCACGTCAGGACACAAGGGGGTTCCAGAGAGAGGAGACTGCTCAGCTGGGCCTCTGGCCAGGGAGCCTCTCTTCCCCCCTCCCTCCCCCCCTCTCCCCACCCCCCTTCCCTTCCTCTCTCTCTCTAAAAGCAATGAAAAAATGTCCTCAGGTGAGGATAAAACAAAAAAATTGTTTAAATGGGCAAATTTTATGTTATATATATTTACCACAGTAAAAAAAAAATACAGGGACTGAATAGCCCTGTATCTATTTTTTTAAAAGATTTTATTTATTTATTTTTAGAGAGGGAAGGGAGGGAGAAAGAGAGAGAAACATCAATGTGCGGTTGCTGGGGGTTATGGCCTGCAAGCCAGGCATGTATCCTGGCTGGGAATTGAACCTGCGACACTTTGGTTCGCAGCCCGAGCTCAATCCACTGAGCCAGGGCTATGCCCTGTATCTATTTTTGAAAGTTGAATTTGTAATTAATCTTCTCCAAGGAAAGTCCAGGCACAGGTTCACAAATTCCACTCGTGAATTCTACCAAACAAAGAGGAAAAGGACACCAATTTTACACAAACGCAGAAAACTGAAGAGGGAATACTTCTCAATTCATTCTATGAGACCCTCATTAATCTAATATCACAAATCCCGACAGAGACATTACAGGAAAAGAAAATGACACACTAGAATACCTCGTGAACGTGTATGTGAAAATTCTAAAAATAAGTTAGCAAATCAAATTTAACAGTGTATAAAAGGATCTAATAAGGTTTATTCCAGGAACACAAGATTGATTTGATATTTGTTAAAAATCAATATAGTTTACCACAAAAAGGATTATGAACAGAATAACATGTGAACGTACTCATATGTTAACATATATGACCTGCAATGTTAACAGAATATAAAATTAAAACCACATGATCATCTAAGTAATGTAGAAAAATCATCAGCCCTGGCTGGCATAGCTCAGTGGATTGAGCTCGGGTTGTGAATCAAAGTGTCGCAGGTTCGATTCCCAGTCATGGCACACGCCTAGGTTGCGGGCCACAACCCCCAACAACCGCACATTGATGTTTCTCTCTCTCTCTTTCTCCCTCCCTTCCCTCTCTAAAAAAGTGAATAAATAAAATCTTTAAAAGTTTTTTTTATTAAAAAAAAGAAAAATCAAACAATCCAACATCGCTTCCTAATTCAAAGCTAAATAAACTAAGAAGGAAACATTGTCTACCCAATAAAAGTCACCTGTGAGGAAAACTACCATTAATGCTATACTTGACGGTGCTCCCGGAGCTCAGGCACGAATCAAGATGCCTTCCCTCTGCTCCATCCCACGTTGCGCTGGAGACTGTTCAATAAGGCAAGAAAAGGAAATGAGGAGACATCCAGATTGGAAAGGAAGAAGTAAAACAGTCTTGAGTCACACACATTACTGTTCATGTAGAAAACCTTCTGGAATCGGTAAAAAAAATAAATAAATAAAACTAGAACTAACAGGATTTTAGGACGGCTGTGAGATACAAGATCAGTACATTTCTGCAGACTAGCAGCCAGCAATCGGAAATCGGAATCGCTTCGCGTACGGCAGAATGTCACAGAAGCCCCAAGTTTCGTCAGCCCCAAGCTTTTGTCTCCAACCCCTGGTGCCGCTGGGAGGCCCACACCATAATTAGTTCTCCGGTCCACACCCCGTCACTGTTTATGGGAGGGGTAAGGCTGCGGATGTTGATCCCATTGCCAGGGAAACTCTGTAAACAAGCAAGGAAGGCTGCGAGGCCAGTCGGAAGCGCGGGGAGGAGCGGCACTTGGTAGAGTTGGATATGAAGAGTCAGGTGGGGAGAAAGCCAAGGGAACGTGGTCGTCTCAGGGATCGAGGAGGTGGCTGCCCGTCCACGGTGGCGCGCACACTCTCCTAGCCCAGCGACCAGCCAGCGGATCCAGGATCCCGAGGCCCAGGCTGAACACGGACGCACCCTATCCCGGCCCTAGGACCAGCCAAGCAAGGGTCCTCCTCAGCTTCTGCATCTCCAGGAAGAGGCCACAGCACATTCCGATCCTCCTAATATTATCCCGGGAGCAATTCTTCTCAGCCAGAGCCAAGACTGTCACTTCCTGCCACGCTCCGGCCTCTCGGGGACCCGGCTTGCTCATTGCCATGATGACCTCACTATCAACCTCTGTCCACTCCCCTGGGAAGCAAAGAATGGGACAGCCTGGTGCCTCGCACCACCGAAGCACGAGAGATGCAAGATTCCAAGGGCAGACCTGGGGTGGGGAGGCCTCCTAGGGAGTCAGACCCCTCTGTGGAGGGATTGCACAGGCTCACAAATCACCAGACCCGTGTCAGCACCACCTCAGAACAAGCACCTGGGGGTGGGAACCCTGGCTGACCCCAGGGTGACGGGGGTGAGAAGCCAGTGAAAGGGAGGTTGGACTTCAGGACGGGAGGGGCCGGGGTGAGTGGCAGATCTGAAGCCCGGCCAGAGAAAGTGGAGAAGGGGACAGAGGAGCAGGCATGTGGGGAGGCAAGCAAGCGTCACGAGGGCATGACAGGGAACCCCACACAGCTCCGGGCTCTGGGATGGGACAGCACGCAGGGCAGGGCGGCTGCGCTTCCTGGATCCAGTCTGCACTCCAGTGCTGACTTCCTGAATGATGCACTGAAGGATCTTGGGAAGCAAACCTCTTTTTTGTGTGTGGAATCAATGAGATGAAGCACCGAAAGTGCCCATCACAGTGTCTGAGTTAGTAGCACTCAGTAAATGGGAGTGAGCACCGCTAGCACTCACCTGTGTGGAGGGCCAGCACGGGCCAGTGTGAAGAGTGGAGGGGGACAGACACGGAGGACTGGACTGGTGACACTGGCTAGGGACAGCGAGGAAACGAGGGTTACGATGGGAGACGGAACGGCACGTGGTTTAAGGGGAGGGACAGGGAGGGAGGGACGGGGTGGCTGAAGCATCCCCACCAGCCTGGGCTCCAGAACCCCTCAGGGATCGGTCCCCGCGCCCCCCCTCCCAACGTCGCTCCCCTGCCCTCATCTCCTTCTCTCCGCCAGGTGCCAATGGATTTCCCTGCTGTACCAAGGACTCAGTGGACATTATAGACACACAGTGAGAACCAGCCCCCCATCATCGACAGACCTCTTCCCCACCTTCCAGGACCACCAACCCTTACCGCCCCCCACCACTGCCAAGTTTTCATGTCCCCCCAACCCAGGATCTCCCTCCATCTTGCCTGTTTTCAAAATCTCCCCAACGGTAGTATCCAGGCCCCAAGGCCATGGTGGGGGCAAGGGGTGCCATCCGCTCCAGCTTCTGCCTGCAGCCACCGACCTTGGAGGAAGACAGAGGAGTAGAGGGACACACCCGGGGACGTGGATGGGACCCGACCCCTTCGGTCCACCTTGCTCTGAGCACCGAGCCATCCAAGTTGGGGGTGGGAGGGCTGCTGAGGAAGCAGAGGGGGTTACACGGCTGAGCACTGAAGACAAGGACCAAGATGCCAGCGCACTCTCAACGAAAACTGACCTACACCCCCCTCCACACGCACATCTGCGGAGCAGGCTGGGGGCCAGGGTGGGGGGGCGGGGCTCTGGGCTTTTCCTTCTGCGAGGAGCCACTGTCTGGGCCCCAGTTCCCCGGTTCCCCGAGTGAGCTGCATGCAGTCCCTGGAACAACCAACGGAAGTGAAGATTCCTGGCCCTCACCTCCAGCCAGCTGCACCCCTCCTCGCGGGGAGGGAAGTGACCTGGCAAGCTCTCCGTGCACTTTGCAAACTCACTGCAGTTTGAGAACACAACTCCAGAGCTCTTGGGGTGGGGACGGTACATAAGCTGGGAGGGGGGCATCTTGCCAGCTCCTGTGTAAGGCAGGGGACCTCGTGGGCCCCAGAGGCCCCCTTCCCCCTGAAGCCAGCCCCCAACCCCATAGGGCCCTGTTACCTACTCTGTCTCCTTCTGTCTTAGGATTGACTTAAACCAACGCCAGTTCCAGCTGGGACAGAGGGAATATGAGCCAGAGGTATTGGTGGGCGGGGCCACCTCTTATGGGGGGGATGGTAGGCCAGGGGCAGGGTTCTTTGAGGCCAAGCCCATCTTCCTTATACTCTGTGACCAGCCCCTACTCTTGGCAATTCTGGGACCCTAGTACAAGGCCAATGTTGTCATGTGCACTCTCTGTCTCTCTCTCTCTCACACACACACACACACACACACACAGGCTCACACTGCCTTCCTGCCCCAGGCAGGTCTCTGCAAAGAAGCAAGTGTGGGGAAGGAAGTGAGCGGTGGTGGGTGGGGGTGGGGTAGGCGGGGGGGGGGGGGAGGGCAGAGCAGGGAGCTGGTGTCAGGGAGGACCTGAGGGGCAGGGGCCTCCTCAGCTTTCAGCTGAAACTTTTCAGCAGGAGGACAAATTACTAGAGCTGGAGCCCCCACATAAGATGGACCTGGACACAGAGCTGGAGGAGGAGGAGGAGGAAGAGGAGGAGGCAGAGGCTGTGCCACCGCTGGAGTGGTGCCTGGCACCCATGCTCAAGCCTGAGGCCAAGCTGAGCTCCAACTTGGAGGCCGGCAACGAAGACCTGGAGGAAGAGAGGTACAGAGTAGAGCCCATCCACCCCTACATGGAGGAGCCGCTGGAGGACGACACCCACCAGCTGGGCTACCCAACTCCTGTGGAGGAGGAACCAGCCACCCCCTCCCATAACTCCATCCACGTGCAGACCTCCAAGCACCTCTTCTGGGCAGACAAGGTCACTCAGGCCTCAGAACAGAACCTGCAGCGGGAGACCAGCAGGCAGCTGAGTGAGAAGAGCATCAGCCCCCTGAACCAGGAGTCGGTCTCCAAGGACGCCCTGTGCTCCGAGAAGCCGCTCCAGAACCCCAGCACCCAGCCAGAGCTTCCAGACACCGGCTCCAGCCTGCCGTCGAGCACCCACTCCTCCTCCAGTCTCCCACCGGTCATCAGCCTGCAGGATGTGGTCAACTTGGCCACTTCCCTGGCCATAGCGTCCTCCAGCAAGGTGGACCTGTCCAGTTTGGAATACGTGATGAAAGGTCCCCAGCAGAAGTCCATGGAGCCCTGTCCAGCGCCGCCGCCCTCGGTGGAGAGTGCCACCCCTTGTGCCAAGGAGGAGCCAGAGCAGGAAAAGCCCCCTGAGTTGCTAAGGGAGCCACCAGAGAAACTGCTGGAAGCCGGGGAGCCAAAGAAAGTGTGCAAGCAGAAAGACAAGAACGAATTGCCCCTTCACCTTGACTTGAGCAAGCTGGGGTCCCAGAAGGCCATCATTGAAGGGAAAGTGACGTTCCTCCAGACCCCAGTCACGTCCTCTCCACCGACGAGAGACAGGAAAGAGTAAGCGAGGCTGGCACTCGGCTCCCCGCAAGAGGAGGCTGTGCCGGGAACCTGTGGGTGGGGAGTAGTGGGATGAGGGGCTGCTGGGTTGGGGGTGGAGTGAGCTCTGATTCTCAACCTCAGTGACCTCATAAAGGCTGGCGGAAACTAGGTTCCAGTGGACTGAGGCGCTCTGCCAAGGCCAGGGCCAGAGGCGACCTGGGGACCATGGAGAGTGAGCGCTCCAGGGCTCGGGCAGGGAGCTGGGTTCAAAATGGGGAGGGCCACGCTAAGCCAATAGGCCATTAGGAGGCTTCTCACCCAGAGGACAGATGGCCTCCCCTTGCCTGGAAATGCTCACGCTCGTGTCTGCCCAGCTGAGGACCTGGTGGCTCCAGCCCGGGCCCAGGACATGCCCATCGCGCGGCAGAAGAGGGAAGAGGGTCCTCCAGCACTCCTTGCTTCCCAGTGATGGATGCAGCCGGCAGATGCCAGCTGCCCATCAGGGCGCAACGGGACTAGGTCCTCTTCCCCTCGTGCCCTCCCCGGAGTGGCCTCGGGGCTCATCCCCTCTCCCCGGCCCTCCCACCGGGGCCCACGTGACACTCTCTCTTTTGCATTGCAGCCCGGGGCCAGGAACCAAGAAAGGGAGTCCATTATTGCTGAAAATCCATTTTAAGCTGTCGTCCCCCTCTTCCCCAGAGAAATAACTAGACGAGACCAATAAAGCCTCCAGTGCTGGCCCCCGACTGAGACGTTCGGTGCAGACCCTCTCGGGCCAGTGAGCTCACCTGGCAGCCGAGTCCCGGTTGCAGTTTTTTAGGGATGCCCCACCCCATTTTTTAGCTACCCCGGCCCCACCGGCCCCACCTGCCCCCGAGGGCTCCACCAGCCCTGTTTGCTCCACCTCACACACACTCCTGCCCAGATGTTCACACCAGCAACAGGCTCGTGACTGGTGCAGTCCAGGCTGCGGAGGACTCGGGGCCCTCTGTGAGGCTGCACTCTCTTAGGTTACAAAACAGGGCTTTCAGTCCTCTGCGGAGAGGAGAGCGTCTCCTGGGGGGGGGGGCGGGGCAAGCTAGAAGGCAAGCCTGAAGGGAGTTCTTTCTCCTTGCTTCTTTCTCCCCATGGGGAAGGTTTGGCAGGGGGAGGGGCAGGATCCAGGGGCTGGAAGCAGGGAAAGAATGAAACTGGAGGAATGGCCCTCCAGGGCCATTGAGTTGGAGTCACCTCGAAATGCAGGGCAGAGCCACGCGGGATAGCAATAAGAGCTTGCAACCCAGACACACGTGCGTGTGCGCACACGCCATCAGCTGACCGGAACGTCATACTGACGGGCACTCACGTCACACATCCACACGCAGAGCACGCTCCATACATTACATGCCATGCACACAAACGCACACCAACACAGACAGGTACTAAACACGCACACAAAGTGCACAAGCCTCCCCAGGTCAAGGGAAGGTGGACCATGCGGAGAGCATTCTGGGAGAGGAGAGAGATGGCCGCAAAGGAGGGAAGGGAATTCTGAGTGCAGGGCTGGCCATGGGCGTGAGGACAGAAGTCAGGGAGGGAGAGGGGGTGGCAGTGCCGTGGCCGACCTCGAGGGCCAGCCTACGCCCAGGCGCCCTGTCCAGTGGCAGCCCAGCCTTGCGGGGCCTCAAGAGCCTGGTCCGCCTTGAGAGGGGGCTGGGAGAGGGGAGTGAGGAAGGGGTGGTCAGTTAAGCATGGGCTAGGGGCTACAGGAGAAAGGGGCAGGCGGCTGGAAGGAGGGACAAGGAGGACATGCAGGGTGAGTGTCCAGGACGGGCTGGGCCAGAGGTGCCATCCAGCTGTTGGGACCCATCTTCACGAACTATTCTTCTCCTGTGGTTGTGGATTTGACCGTTGGGAGAAAGGAACCCTTTCCTCCCAGGGCAGCTGTGGTAAGACAGGCCACAGCCCACCTGGGGCTGGACCCCACCCTCCCACACCCTGACTTCAGGACTCGGGGGGGGGCTGGCTGCTTTCTCCCCCCGGGGCCTCTGCCTCCTGCCTTAGCTTCCAGAGTGGCGGTGCACATTCAGACACCTTAAGAGAGTCAGAAACTCAAAAGAGTAAAGCAGCAGGTTGCCCGGCAGAGAGTTGAGGGGGAGAGGGCGCCACTGCCAAAAGATCTTAAAATCCACCGCAAAGCCATCCTGGGCGCTCCGGGCCTGGGGCACTGGACCAGCCTTCGAGCCCGTGGCTCTGCCTTTCAGGTAGCAGAGGGCAGAAGACCAGGAGAGTCCTGGGGGCACAGAGAATGCACAGGTGACTAGGGCTAGGGGAGGGCCCACGACTACTATAAGCCACTGTCCCCCCTGAAGCCCCTGGACAGAGGACTGTGGGTGCACACGGCGGACGTGGGGGGTCCTGGGAGGAAGCCTGGTCCTGGGTCCCCTGGAATCTTAGCAATCTAGTGGGGAGTGTCTTCTCCCCGCCTCCAAGGCCTCCACCAAAGCCTCAAAAACTGCTCACGCGAGACCCGGGAGAGGGGCAGGCCGACAGGACGCACAACGGGAGGCCGCTGCAGTACATGGCCCCGCTGACCCAGAGAGAGCCAGCGGCTGCCGCGGCCATGGGGACCGAGCAGGCTTCACGGAAGTCCAAGGAGTTCAAAGACCTGGCCGCGGCCCATTTGATAGGGTCAGGCTCACATGCCGGGTCTCAGAGGTGAGGACAGGGGCTGGAGGCCAGGCACGGGGTGCTGGGTTTGGGGAAAGGCCTGCCTGGCCCCGGCACCGCCCTGCAGCAGGTGCGAAGGCCCTTCCAACCTCTTTCTCAGAAGCAGCTTTGCAGCCAGGAACCTGCCACCACTGACACCCCAGCAGCTGTCAGGTGAGGGCCCCATGGCTGGGAGCAGGGAGGAAAATGTGGGCAGCTCAGAGTAGACCTACGAGGGGTTGCCTGCCCAGAGGCTGGGATCACCAAGGAAAACAGCAGTTGTGTTGTAGCCTTCCCTCTGTGCGGGTCTAATTTGCTCGTCTCTACAACCCCAGGGTTCACTGGTGTGTGTGTGTGTGTGTGTGTGTGTGTGTGTGTGTGTGGCATGAGGATGAAGGGAGGGACGCATTGGTGAACAGGAAGGTATTTGGATGGCAGGTGGATGGATGAATGGATGGATGAACAGGATGGAAGAAGGAAGGGAAAAAGGAATATTGGGAGAAATGATGGAAAAAAAAGGAACCTGAGTCCCCAACACCCCTTGGGTCTGGGGTTGTAGAAGCTGGGATAGAAGAAACCCTTTGACATTTGAGGACCCCAGTGCCCCCCCAAAGATCATGCCTTGATATTGGTAGGGGTCCTGCAAAGCAGAATCATTTTATTCATCGATAATTTTCTGTCCACTGGCTGGCGTGGCTCAGCGGAGTGAGCACCGACCTGCAAAGTAAAAGGTCGCTGGTTCGATTCCCAGTCAGGGCACATGCCAGGTTGTGGACCAGGTTCCCCGTTGGGGGCGTGCGAGAGGCAGCCAATCGATATATCCCTCACACATCCATGTTTCTCTCCCTCTCTTTCTCCCTCCCTTCCCTCTAAATAAATACAATTTTTAAATAGGCATTGTCTGTGCCCGCGGCATGCCAGGTGCCAGCATTTTTGCCCCGTGACCAGACTCAGACTGCTGGAGCCCAAAGCCCAGCATGGCCCCTGCTGGTGGTGTGACCTTGGACATGAGTTTTGACTGATTTTCAGACAAACATGTCCACACATGAGTTTGGAGCAAGAAAACTGAATGGGCACCAAGCTGTCAACACAGCAGCCACGGTGGTTCTTTGTAGTAGAAGCGATAATGCCCAGGGGGTTGGAATGACCCAAGTCCTCAGTCCGCTCTGAGCTGGGGGGACAGGTCTCAGGGTTCCTAGGGGTGCGGCGCACCTTGTTGCTGCCCCTCTCCCTGCCCGCAGCGTTCCAGGATATCTTCGAGCTGTTCAGTTCCAGTCGGACGGGCAGCGTGGGCGTGCACAGCCTGCGAGCCGCCCTGCGTGCCGCCGGCATCCACCTGAGCCCCTGGGAGATACGCGAGGCCCTGCGGCAGGCAGACTTGGATGGTGGGTCCCCCATCCTCTGCCCTCTCTCCCTCTCCCGTCTCTAGCCCCCCTGGAGAACACCTCCCTTGCCCACAGAATCCCTAGCCTGGTCCTGTTTTAAAGTCTCTTCTTCCAGGAAGCCTGCCCTGATCGACGTGCCTACCCCATAACCTCTAGACACTTCTGCTGTGCTAATCCTCATTCTGGCCTGGGACTTCCCGCCGGCAAGGGCTATGTCTCCGAGGTCACCGTGGCCTCTCCTTTCAATGCCAGGGTTGACACTTGGCTTCGCTAATGGCTGGAACTTCCGGCCAGTCCCTAACGCTTATACAGTGTAGGCCTGCGGCAGGGGCAGGCACCCACAGCACCCCCTCCTCTCTCTTCCCAGGTGACGGAACTGTAGGCTTCGAAGACTTCCTGGGTGTCTTCACCAACAGCCACCGCCTCGCTCAGTACTTGGGTGAATGGTGGGGCTGGTGGCGCGGATGGATGGGCCCGGCCCCTGGGTGGCTCCCCCTCACCCTCCCCCATGTCCTTGGACACCAGGCCAAGTGAAAGACATCCAGGTCTGGGACCCCCAAGGCCTGCAGACCCTCTTCCTGGAGACGCTGTGCAAGCTGACGAGGCTGGGCTTTGTGCCCTACAAGTCAGTGCGGGAGGTGATGAGGTGGGCACCCATGTATCCAGCCCCAGGGCCCAGGATCGTGGGAAGCACCCTCTGCCCCATGCAGGGGTTCCCTGATGCACCTGCCCCAGAGAGGGGAGCCCTGAACTCTGGGTCAGTGTCCTGGGCCCCAACGAACCCCAGGCCACGCCCAAGTGGCGCCCAGCCCTGCTTTGGTTCCCCACCTGTGAGATGGGGCTGCGGGGAATGCGGGGGGTAGGGGGGTGTGGAGGCGGTGTCTGAGGCGGCTGCTCCACTTTTCCCCTTCCAGCTATTACTCCAAGAACCAGCAGGCCCTGCCGCTGACCCTCGGCTGCAGGGGCAGGTCGAGGGACCAAGGCTGCCCAGAGCGCAGCCACCGCGGCCTCAACTTCTATTGCCAGGCCGAGCGGATCAGCGGCCTTTCTCACGCCCAGCTGGCGAGCCTGCTGCACGGACTGCACAAAGCGGGTGCACCCCTTGGTGGGGCTGGGGGCACCCGCACGAGTGGGGACTCTCCCTCAGGCCCCATTCTTAGGACTGGCCCCTCCTTTCTCTCTTACTGGCTTCCCCACCCCAGGTTCCTACAGCCCTTACTCTCAGATACCTAAGTTGGCTCCGAGCTCCGAAGTGCGATTTCCCAAGTGGTACACCTCCGGACACCCCTGGCCCAGGACTCACCAGAGGCAGCGCGACCCAGGTGGAAGCACGAGGGAGGGGTGGGGGCGGGGCTGCGGGCGAGCACGTGTTTGCACGGTTGGGGGCGGGGCTAGCAGGCAGGGGCGGGCCATGCAGATAAGGGGCGGTAGGAAGCGGAACCGTAGAAGTAGGAAGGGGTAGGCACTAAGGCGGACTGAGGGAGAGCTAACCCAGCGTGTCCAACCCAAATAACTGGCTGAACCCTCCAGCTCCCGCAGGGTTCTCGAACCAGCCAGTAGAGGAGACGCGCCGCTGGAAGCTGGCCCCCTCCCCGCCAACTCTAGTGCAAAAGCAGCCCTGTTCCCCTTCGCCAGCCTGTTTGCAGATACCTGCTGCGAAGAACTGGTACAAGTAAAGCATTTGCTGGATGAAACAGGCTGGCATGTCGCGGGGCGCGCAGAGCGGATGCAGATCTTTTGCAAACATCTTTATTAATCTTGTATAAAAATAAGTTCCGTGGAGAGTCCCCGGAGGCCGGGTGGGGGCGAGGTTGCACTTTATAAGTTACGGGCCAGTCTCCCGCTGAGGCTAAGTACAGTATGGCTATTGGGGGGACAGGGGTGCTGCAAGCAGCATTTGGGGGGAGGGGCCAGTGATCCTGTCCCCTGTAGCAAGATGAGGGTGCGAGGGCCCATTTGAGGTGGGCCCGCGGCAGGGGACAGTGGCAGAGGGGTTGCCCGGCCCAGCCGAGCTGAGGACCCCCTTCCTTGTGCCGCGGCGAGCCCCCTCCCCCACCCCCAAAGTCCATCTGCGGAAACAGCAGCTACAGCGAAAGGTCCGAGGTGACCTGCATCGGGGGTCCGGGCGGTCGCCGGCGAGCGCTGCGGCGGCCTGTGTCTGTGCGGATGTAGGGCTGGTTCCGGAGATCTGGCGGAGAGGAGACGGCGCATTCACCCTTCCGGAAGGAGTCTGCCCGAGGTGGGGACCACCGCTCGGGGGCACAGGCCTTACCCTTCTAGGGACCCGGGTTGTGCACGTTGAGGAGGGCTCCTGTTTATGTTGACCAGACCCCCTCAGACACACCCCAGCATGCATGGCCACGGCAGGGGACCGCAACAGGCCTCAGTGCCCCACAGGGGCCCTCGTTGCTAAGCCACTGGACTCAGAGACCAGGCCACCCAGGTACCTGAGAGCTAGAGGGGGAGCTCCTCTCCCAGGCTGGCCTCACAGAGGAGCCTGGACGTCCGCTTGCCAGTGCGCGCCGTGAAGGGCACTGTCTTGAGCACTGAGGAGGGTCAGGAGGGAGGAGGGGGGGAGGAGAAAGACAGAAGAAGTAGCAAAGAGGCAGTGAGGCAGCCAGACCCCCAGGGTTGGGGGGGTGGACGGAGGAAGCACAGGAGGACGACAGACCACGTGCGCGCCGGCCGCGGCCAGGCCCTCACCTGTGATGATGTCTTCAATGGCCCCGTCACGGTCGCTCTCGTAGATGAGTGGCTCCTTCTGCTGCCTCCGCTTCAGCTCAGAGATGAGGTCCATCTGTTGCCGCCGGACCTTGGGCGGGGACTGGGGGGGTGGGGAGAGCACGTAGCTGCAGTTTCAGGGTCCCCTCCCCACCACACCACCAAACCCCATCTTGTCCCCCAGAGCCAACCCCCACTGCTGGCTGGAGCAGAAGGAACCCATTCCCATCCCAGGCGCCTAGCCAGGTCTTTAGGGTGAGGACACCAGGCACCCCCCGCATCCCAGGACTGAGCTCAGGGGCAGCTGCCTACCTTGGGTGCTGGGGGCTCCCCTCTGCCGGGGGTCTCAGTGCCTGCCTCCTGAGCTGCAGCTTCTTTCTTCCACTGCTCCACCTCCTGCTCGGCTTTCTGAGGGGCCACGGCAGGTCTCCATGAGCCGAGGTCTCCCTCACTCCCCCCTCCCTCTGCCCGCCTGGACAGGCTGCAGCGCCCTGCAGTGGTGCCGGCCTGCCCTCCTGGACACACATACCTTGTAGGCCTTGACGAAGCGGCTGAAGAGGGAAAAGAACATGGAGGGGGACGTGGTCTTGGGGTTCTCCCCGAAGTACTCCACCACAGACTCGTAGGCCTCCTGCAGACACAGCCCGTCGGCCCCATCAGTAGGGACCCCTGACGCCTGACCACAGCTCTGTACGCACACCTCCCCTCCATGAACACACCAGCCACTCCATCTCTGCTTCTCCTGGCAGGTGGCCCCTCCTTCCTACTCCACCCCCCAAAGTGTCCCAGCTGTGGCCACGCCGCTCCAAGCCTTGGTTACTCAACCCCACCTAGGTAGCGCACCCCACCTTTCATAGCGTACCCCCACCCTCCCCACCTCCAGGGCCCGGCCGGCCCCAGCCCACCTGAGCTGTCTTGCTGTCTGCCAGCAGCTTGTCCATGGTGGGCGAGTTGGCCCTCAGGAACTCCTTGAGCACCAAGCAGTCATCTTGCCGCACGAACTCCCGCTGGGTCAACTCCATGCCCCTTTGCAGGGCGCGCACATCGCCTAGGACGCTGTCCAGGGACACTGCGGGGGCGGGGCGGGGCGGGGCAGCAGAGGGGCGGGGAATCAGAGAGGCAGCACTCCCAAGCATTTACATCCTGCGGTCCCCTTGCTTTCTCCCGACCCCACATCAATCCCCAGGGCCGAGCCCCTCCCAAGGACGAGAGTGGTGGTGGGTGGGGTACAACCCACCCCTACCTGAGCCTGCTTTGTCCAGGAAGTGCAGTTCGCTGTAGAAGCCTGTGAGCTGTGGGTACTTCTCAGCGATGACCTTCACCAGGTAGTGCAGCAGTGTCTGCTTTCGGTCAGTCGACTTCATCTCCAGCAGCTGCACAAGGACCTTTTATAAGCCACAGGCCACCCGCCCTCCTCCCCCATCGCCCAAGCCAAGGAACCCCTTCTCTCTCCCCTCACCGCATCCAGACTCTGGAGCCGGAAGCCGTAGGCCGCCCCACGCTTGCTGCTGTTCATGTAGTTGCCGAAGGCCAGGACGATCTAGGAGAGGCGGGAGAGCTCAGCAGGGGGCGGGGCGGGGCTGGGCTGAGAAACGCCCTGGGGCACCAAGTGCACGCCCCCAACTCAGCCCTCACTGCAGTCCTCCCTGGACCCCTCTGGTCCGTGACACACGTACATGCATGTGTTCATGTTTGGCACATGCACAGCGAACACCATGGCACGCCCGATTTTATCTACTGCTATTCCCACCCAAAGCTGCGCTGCCAAGGTGTCCTCCTAGGCTGCGGGGTCGCCACCTCTCTAACAGTCATTTCTACCGGTTCCCTGGACCCCACCGAGCAGGTGTGGGTGCTCTGCTGATTACACAGTAACCCCCAGAGGGGCTGAGCCCTCGGGCAGAGTCTGAGGTGTCTACGGGGCGCGGCAAAAGTAGGTTTACAGCTGTATCCACTTTTGAATAAAATAAGTAATGCAAGAATAAACTCTGAGAGATTATTCTTTTCCCCCCACCCTGTACATGGCCTCCACCCCGACCCTGAGCCTGTATGTGAGAGGTGGGAACATTATATTTGTTGCGTCCTAGATGTGCAAGGCGGGGCTCGAGTCTCCCTCTAACCTCCCAGAACAGGCAAGGGGTCAGGGCCGACCCTACCTCCCAGGGCCCTCTTGCCCTGGGCTCTCACTCACCTCCAGGATCTGGCGGAGTTTGTCAGAGGACTTAATGGACATCGAGGCTGCAATGACGGCATTCAGTTGCTGGGGGAGGGAATGGGGAGGCGAAGTCAGCTGGGGCTGTATAGGAGCTAGCCCTTAGGAGGCTCATGCGCACTCAAATGCCATCCTGGAGCCCCGCCTTGGGGCAGGCTCCTCCCCATCCTCAACCCAGGCCACGCCCACACCACTCTGCCTGCCCCGCCCACACCGGCATGAGCAGCTGGATGGTATCCGGGAAGTTGCCCAGGAAGGTTAGCGTGGTCATGCGCTCTGGCAGGCGCGGGATGCGGCTGAAGCGCAGCATGAAGCGATCCTCCTCTGACAGCTCCTCCATTGGCCGCTGCTCCTTCTCGAAGCGGGCGATGAGGCTGCGCTCATACTCCGTGGGCAGGAAGCGGGTCAGCAGCTCCAGGAAGTCCAAGCCGAGGGTCTGGAGGTCGTACCTGGAGGCCGAGGGGGAGGTGTTGCTCCACACCCACCAGATTCCCCTCCCCTTCCTTGACTGGATAAATGATCTTCAGGACTTGCTATTTGCCAGCAGCTTCAGGGAACAAGAGCTAGGAGTCAAGGGAAGTTGGCAACTGGGAAGCCTGGGACCCCCATCATCCATCAGTGGCGGATGTCCAGCTGAAACGCCTGAGCCTGAGTGCCTACAGCTGGGCAAGGAGGCAGGGAGGGAATGGGAACATCTCTATCTGGGCATGACCTCATAGTACAGCCTCAGTTTCTCGGCCTGAAAATGGGAATAAGGTTCCCCACCCTAGTCCCTGACCGGGGTTGATATAAAGCTTGGTGAGCTCTGGCCCACAACTGGGGCTCTTTTACAGCCTTGGACTAGCGGAAGGGCCGGGGTGCCCACAAGCCCACGGCACTCACGTCTCGATGGCCTGGCAGATGCGGTCAGCCCCCAGGTTGCCCTTGCGCAGGGTGATGGCCAGATTCTTCGCCCGGTTGGCCTCGATGAGTGTGGCCTTGCTGGGGGCCTTCTGGGCTGCTTTACTCTTGAGAGCGCCGAGGTCCAGGCTGGGACCTTGGGACTTAGTCTTGAACTGCTCCTCGAAGTCACTCATGTCCAGCTCCTGAGGGCGCAGGGACGGGAAGCAGGGCTGGGTGGGCTGGGGTCTTGTACATTCCTGGCTGAGCACCATGCTCGGTACTAGAGCCACCTCCCCTGCCCTGCCCTGGCCGCTGGCAGAGAAACAAACCAGTAGCTCAGCCTGACTGCAGGCCCTGATGGGCCGGGCGTACAGGGGAAGCACAGGGAGCACTGAGGAGGAGGAGAAGCAGTACCCAACCC